TTTTTCAAAAGGGACAATAATCATCAGTGAGCGAAATGATAGAGACGCATCGCACTAAAAATGAACTTTGCTTAGCGGAGGCTTTGTTTTGTAAGGAAAAGGAAATCTCAAACTTCCAAGCTAGTCTGAAATTTGATGGTGGGGGCGGGGAGGAGCTGCTCATCAAACTGGAAAGTCAGTTATTCCCATGACATTTTATTTTCCAAAGCAGCAAGGAGWGGCTACTATCAGAGGCTTTCTCCCCACTGCTCCCTGCTTCTTGCTGAGTTTGTAAAGGCCTTGATGCACCTCCTTTCTCCTGGCAAAAAGCACGTTGTTTGCTGGCGTTTACCAGCACCAGGCGGTCCCAGCTCCAGCTCCGATGGTCGGGGCTGGCAGGACGATCCTGTGGTCAGGTGCCTGGTGCCACCTCTCCTGCAGCCAGCAGGGAGGCCAGCAAGAGGCTGGGGCTGCCCCAGCAGGCAGGAACAGGCCAAAGAGAGCGGCACGGCCCAGCCAGCGAGGCCGTTTTCCATAGCTTCAGATACAGGCATCTGGCAAGCAGGGAGCTCTTTGCAATGGAAAGCCTGGCCCATCCCTGAGCGCTGACTACAGCAGCCCACAAATGTGACCGCTATAATGTCTTTCCAGCATGTCAGCTTGGAGAGCGGATTGAGCGCTCCAGAGCCAGATGGCAAAGTGCTCGAAAAAAAGGAAAAAAAAAAAAAAAAAAAAAAAAAAAAAGAAGTTTCCCTTTAAAAAGCAACTGCTGTCAGCCCCTCAGGATAACACTGGAAGGAGCAAACCGACTTGAGGATAAATGCCTTGCTCATGCTGCTTTGCCTTTGCCAGCCTTTTGCGTTTTCTCTGAGCCTCTCCTCACGCTCGCCCCAGGGGATGGCAGCGGCCACGCGTGCGAGCGCGGCCTCCCCATGGCGCTGGCCCTCACCAGGAACACTTCTGCGTCTCTCTGGGGAGGGCAGCCACCCCGCTTCCCTTYGCAGGCGAGGGGCCGAGCGTGGGGCCGGGAGCTGGGGCCGCACCGAGGTGCACGTGTGTCTGGTGTCACGCACCTTAGCTGTCCACGCGTGACCCCATGCTAGGGGGGCTCTAAAGCCTCCTTGTGCACTGTGCAGGTCTGCAGAGTGCCCAGCTCCCCAGTGGCACGAGCACTGCGAGAGGAGCTGGGGGGCAGCCGACTTGCGCGCATTGACCAGTGGGGCCGTTAACTGGAAATGTTGGCAGCAAGGCTTGGGCACACGGAGCCATGAGGAGGATGTATTTATTTTTTATGTTGACTTTGTTGTTGCACTTTTCAGGCTGGAATGCGTCCCAGCTAACGCAGGTCCAGGACCCCGTCAGCTCTAGACAGCAACAGATCCCTTCCAAGTTGCTGTCATCCCAGAGTTTCCTTCAGGGAAAGGGACTTGTGGTGTCTATCGGCCAGGCAGTAAGCATGTTTCCACACAACTTGGAAAACAGAGGTTTTTCCTCGGAGGCATGAAAGAAGTTCTGGCTGCCACAAGACTCGTTTGCACTTTCCAAAGCCTCCTGGGTCTAAGTTCGTCTTGCGGCAGAGCCAAGAGCGCTATTACCAGGATGTCTGCAGATAGCAATTCTGCGTGTGTGCATGTGCCTGAGCACACCTGCACTTGTTGACTACCTGCCAACACCATTGGGAAGCTTTGTTGTAGGTGTGAAATAATGAAAAGTGTGGCATAAAAGCAAAGCCCCAGGCCTACCACAACCTGGTGGTGAAGAAAGAGATGCTTGGCTTGTTGGATACAGCCTCTTGGTTTACGAGAACATCTAATAAGCTTTCTGGCCCAAAAAGTTGAAGTCTATGAAGTCATACTTTCTGAAAATAGGAACTCTTGGTGTCCGTGCAGCTCTCCTGCACACAGTCCGTGCTGTGCTCCGGCTGCAGCCGGGAGCGCGCTGCGCACCCTGTCTCACCACCCAGGGGATCGTTTGGGAAAGAGGGGAGCAGGGGCAGGTGTTGGCTGAGCAGGGCAGGTGGGTTGACCCACTGCACCTGTGGTCTCACAGAACCGTGACAACACCTCAGACCGTCATGACAGGTGAGCAGCAAGATGTGCACATGCTTTTAAGGCCATGAGTGCAAGAGTGGGATTCCTTCTCATGTCAGATGTTCCCAGAGTGGAGGGCCACTCACAGCAGACGCCCACTGCTGAAATAGGAGCATTTAATCCTTCATGACACAGCTTCTCCTGATGGGCTCCTGCTTAGCACTGGCCCCGTGCTTCACTCCCATGTGGAACAGATGCTGTCATTACTCCTGCTCAGAGGCAGCACCAAGAACAGCAATTTCCATGTACAGATATTTCTTTAGCATTACATAACCTGTGCTTTTAACACATGCCACCTTTTCATTGCAAATTGGCTGCTGTGGGGATATTCACATTTTCTTTTAAATTGTTTCCTTCCCCAGCCATGCAGTTATACTATAGCTTATTTTGATCTGAATCTGAMACTAATTATGTCATTCCATGAGGCTGTGGGATCGTATAATTAAAAAGAATGAATAATTTTYCAAGCCAAAAGAGTGTGGAATAGTTATAAACTGTTTCATAGTCATCTCCAATCCCAAGTGAAAACGTAGCAGTGTAGGGTTGGCATGTAAGTGCCAGGCCATATAAGTCATTTGTAGGAAGCTACGTTAAAGTAAAAACATAACACTGAGATATAATATTTGTTCTTATTCATTGGATTATGGAGAGAAAAAATAACATTCCCTTCAGACTTCTGTCTGGTTGTCTCAAAAACTTCATTTCCATGCTAAGCATGGTTTTAAAATGTCACTGTGAAAATATGTGACAYTTTAATTGACTGATTGCCAAGATTCTCAAATCTATTCATTTACATATGAATCACAGTGCCAAATATTATGGGAAAAAAAAGTGCAGGAAACTAGAATTATGAGAGAATGTCTTACATTCCCCTTGGCTAAACAGACGTTGGGAAGAGGAGTGTCTCAGAAATCAAATATTACGAAGACAAATGAGATTAAAAAACTCTGTAGCCTCCCTGTTTCTACCAATTACTGGTAATGACTGTTTGTGGTCTTTTTTGCAGCTGTTAAAAAGAGCAGCCTGGGTGTCGCCTGTTCTTTCAATGAGCCACACAGTGCCTTACGAAATGACAACCGTGGTTAGTGCTGCCTTAAGTAAGACACCCCCTTCTCCATCCTTCTGATGCGGCTCCGATGAAGTCAGCAGGATTTCACCATCATSCCTAGATCATCTCCATCCAGTAAACAGTTTTCAGGTGGTAGAAACCAAAACCAGCACCAAGAGGCGTCAATTACCCAACTCCTGTGTTCCTCAATCAGAAAAGGCTAAGGAGCTTAAGGAGCTTTCAATATGCAACCAGCTGCTCTACACCAGGGGCTGTGGCTGTGCCTGTGGGAGCCACGTTAAGCACATGTGTAAATACTTGCTGAATTAGGGTTTACAGTTAGAGAAAATCCTTCTGACTCAAACAAAACTTTCTGTCAGGATCTCACTCTTAAACACTTCCAGCAGGAGGAGGGTGCAGTCGATTTCCTAGAAGAGGTTTTCTCGTCTAATATAAGTAGCTCAATGTCGGACTTGGCACATTCTGAGCTATTGTTTATAGCTCCTATGCAGCACATCTGCTTTGGGAGCTGATTTGTGATGGAAATCCACTTGAACGGAGACGGTAAATCTGATTTGCTTGAGAAAAAGAAGTGAAGAGTTCCACGGCAAAACAATCTGGGTCACAATGTACTTTGGATTATAAGATTTAGCGCAGAAAAAGGCCCAAGCCACAGAATTCAGAGCCAGCTTTCAAGCATCAAAAAGTTTGAGGGTGATTAAAACTAGAGTTTAGTTCATCTACTTGTGTATATGTCTACATAACTTGGAGCTGACTCTGTGCTTGGATCTTCCCATCGCCCTTGTGCTCCTCCAAGCCTGTTCATATCCAGGGATCAGACCCTTCTCCAAGTCACAGCAGAAAGCACAAAACCAACACACACAGAAGAGGTTGTTTAAAGAAGACAGCTCAGGTAGAAAGAGGCACCACCAAATAGCTGTGGGTCTGCCATGGGTCTCTGAGAACATGCAAGCAGGAAGAGGGTAGAGGCTTGGCCATGTCACAATAGTACTGCTGTCCTCAAAGAATTTGAGAGTAGCTGAAATAATACCATTTGGGGCAAAACAAATGGACCAAACAGTAATGCTACTGAGGAAAATCTAGAGGTAAATTGCGAAGTAATGTGCAGAAACATGAATTTCCAGGGCTGGAGGCCATGCTGAACATGGTCCTGGWGACCCCAGGGAAGCTGAGTTCTCCATGTTACCTGTGTCACAAGGGGGAAAACTGGCCAGCCACCCACTCCTGTCTTTGTGAAAGAGAAGCCAAGACCAYGTATGTGTCTTTGACCTTGGCAGAGGAACGCTGTTAGTTTGGGTGCCCGTGGAGGGAATGTGGGGCACAGTGCAGACCCAGGGGTGGCCAAGCAACAAGGCCATGGGACACCTCTTGTGGTTGCAAGGAAYTGGGGCTTCTTTTGGCCTCACCACAGTGCAAGGCCCCAGCCAGTGCAAAGTTACCTGTGGAAGGGAAGCTGCTTTGGTGCTGCTCCTAGGGTACAACTAGAGCTTGATGTGAAATGAGTTTTCTAAAACTTCTCTTAAGAAGCTCAGGCCCTCCCCACTCCTTTACAGCTCCTCACCTTGTGTTCATTATGAGAGGGTTCATCTTGAGGAAAGGAGGCAGCTTTTCATGTGGACATCAAAAGAAAACAAGTGTGATACGCATTTCTATAGAAGAATATATTATTTAGCAGATCAGTTGAAAGTAAAAAAAAAATGTACACTTTCAAAGGTTTTTCTTGGTTTTTTTTTTGCAAACACAGGGGTTAATATGCTTACATGGTAGTCTCAGCTGTGAGCTCYCTTTGCTCATGCTGAAGGATCCCTTGAAGCCTACCTGTACCAGAAGCCAAAAAGCAAACCTGCAAACACACTAAGGTTTCTTCTGACTTCTTCTAGTGTAGAAAAGAATATTTGCATCCAATATATTGGGCTGCACTGTGAACACTATAAAATTCAAAGTATTATACAGAGAAATGTGTCTTTAGGGCCTACTAGGCAAACAAAATTATGTGCCAGGTCCCCTGTCAGAATATAAGCATCTGTTAAGCTATGCTATAATTAGCATGCTGCTGGACACGTGTATGCAGTATCTGGAATTGAATGACGTTCTTTTTTGGTTTTAGACTTCATCTTCCAGAAGAGGATCCTTAGGAAAACTCCGCATTGTCTCTGTAGACTGTGGGTCTAACTCCCAAAGGTGCCCAGAAGGGCAGCAGACCTGGTGAGGGTTTGAGTCCTGCTGTCCTGCCACGTGCTCTGGAGCGAGGGGAGCTGTTGATGCCTTCCATGGCGCTGCCCATGCCTGCAGGCTGCAGACCTACGGGCACAGAGTGGCTGGTAAGCTCTCTGGAGGACACGCTGCTGATGTAGTCCCCATGTCTACTTGGCAAAGGTAATAGTTCCAAAAAAACCAAAATGACCTTGGGGCTTAMGCTTTGCTCACAGTCGTCGTCTTCTCACTTTTCGGTGCTTGAGGTGGTCAAGCTCTCACTTTTCTTTTTCTGCAGCTGAAATGAAGAGAGAAGCAGAATAAGCACTACTGACCCACGCAGTGTCCCCGCTGCTATAGGTCCATTCCTACGCTCCCCACAAGATGTGTGCTAAATTTCCTGGGAAATAACTGGCAGCCTTGTGATGTGTCTCAAGCTGAAACTTAGTGTTTCTCATTATACGCTGAGTGAGGCTCTAGGACTGTTAGCTACCTGCCTTTGTTTCAGGGTATTTCTGAGTTGAAGCAGTCCTCATTTTCCCAAGACCTCTTGTACACTGCAATTACAGCTCCATTGGTCTGTRTAACAGCTTTGTTTTGACAGTTTCTGCAACCCAGAAGTTAAATTTCGGCTCAGCTTGAAAAACAGCAAGATCTCAGAAAGTTTCACTGTCATCTTGGAGCCTTTTTTCCCTCCTCTGAGGAGTGCTCCACATACCTATYGAAAATCAAAGAATACCTGGGCAATTTTCATCTTCTTTATAAGCTAGTGCCCTTAAAACTTGTACACTTTGATTAGTCAGCCTTAGTGATGCTGAGAGGAGGACTGTTCCCTCTAAAGTGTTTTGGAGGAGGTGGGAGCAACGGCAGGAAGATGCTCTTCCCCTCATCCAGCCAGTGAGAGATCAAGTGAAGGAACCTTCATTTCCCACATAGCAAAGAGTGTCAGCACAAGTGGTGCTGCAGGGCACTTCTCAATTGATTTTAGTGATACAGTGACAGATAGTGTCCTGTCTACATGACAAAGCTGTTCTTGTCAGGAGAAGTCTACAGAGAGCAACACTGTGGTACTCTCCTTTCTGCACTTATGTGTAATGAATGTGATCCTCATGCATATGATTATGTTATAAACATTTCTACTATTTGAGAATTAAATCAGTATTAAATTATTGCATTTGACTTATTAAGTTAAAAGGATTGCCTTATGAAAGAGGTACTTAGAGCTTACCTCTTTCATAGCATCGTCTATCTGTTTTAATTCCTCATAGCGGTCCCTGGATTCCCAAAGAGGCTGGAGCATCACCTCCTCCACTTCTGGGAATAGCTAGATATAAAAATAAATAAATAAATWAATWAATWAATTAAAAAGAGAATACTAACTTTTCCTTTTGTGTTCACTAACTTATCCATGCTGAAAACAGATGGAAAGAAAGAGTGACTCGTGCATTCCTGCCTCCCTGGCTAATAAAATGAAATTCCTCACACTCCCAGTTCTGCTTCTCACGTTTGATAACTTACCTTTGTCACTGTTTCAAACATGGGGATGAGAACAAACTTAAGGAACCCGATCTGTGCCGTTGGTTTGGTCACTTTGTCACGATCCATGAAAGGTGCCACTGGAAGCCCCTCAGATTTTTCTCGGTCACTCTAGAACAAAAATGAATAAATATTAACCTCATGTTAATACTTATGAGAAGCCAATGAGGAGAGACTACTGAGTAGACCAACAAACTGTACTGACTACTACTGAGTAGACCAACAAACAATGATATACTCAGTGGTATATTTCAAGATAAAAGAGAATAGAAATCTACTTCCTTCAGGCTAATATATCCTGCACTGTTCAGCGCAAGCATCTAGACAGATCTGCACAGCACTGACAYGAAAGCAGCCACCTGCAGGCTTACAGGGCAATGAGGTCACCTCATTCCTACTGCCAGCTCATGGGTCTTGTGGGGAAAAATGTTCCTGAGCATTTAGAAAGGTGGTAATGSCTCTTTGCCACTCTTAATTTCTTCATTCTACACAGAATTATTCTTCTTGGGTATTCAACCAGGAACTACAAACCTTCTTTAATAATGACTAAAGCTAGTGCCAGCTCATCCARGGACTCATAATTTCTATGGACTCAGCAAGAGAAAGCTGCAAATATGTGTTCAGGGCTTTAGACCGTGTTGTGCAAACCACAGTTCAGACCTTTCAATGGCACAAAAGGATATAGTTCCATTGGCTGAAATGAGTTAAGCACCTTACCTGCTTGGCTACATGACTCACTATTTCTTTGTGGGCTCATGTGCAAGCAGGTCACGGACTGTGCATCCAAAAAAGACAACCTAGTAAAGACTTTCTCCTCACTCTGTTGGGTCTACAGGCACACAGCAGTGCTTTTGCTTCATACCTTAATGRTCAAAACAGCAAAGCACACAGATAATATAATTTTAGGTAAAAAAAGGTCAATGCAGCGAGCTAGAGGTTCTTCTGACACATTGTTAGAAGCCTCTGTTCGAGGTCTCTACACACACCCTGTCAGTGTGTGGAAGAAATCTCCAAGATCTCCAGCCTGTTGTCCTTCTCAGGCGCTGCAGCTGTGTGTCACTTATGATATTCTTTTGGCTCAAAAAAAAAAAAAAAAAAAAAAAAAAGTGTACATCACATGAACTTGCAAGGCAGTCCTTTTCCAGAGAACAAGCTTCAATCCAATAGCATTAGGATTTTCAGGTTTCAGCTGCAAATGACAGGCAGCTATAGTCACCTGCTTTCTGAGCAGCCTTCTGTAGCTGACAGCCTTCTACAGCTTTCTGTATAAGAAGCCTTTCCAACCTGGAGCTGGGCYAGGTTGCCAGACTCACAGGACAACTTCCACCAAAGTGGGGAGCAGGAACAGCAGCAATCAGTGCAGCCAGATCTCTTCCTCACTCTTACCTGCATAAAATATTCCTCTAGCAAGCAGTCCACCCAGGGCTCTGCTACTTCCATGGGGCGGACTTCATTGGAGATGTCACAGCATTTGATCAGGACCATCTTCAGCTGGAAGAGGATAAGTACTTTAATACTGAAGTCATATTGCCAGCCCTTTTGCCCTATCTAGAGCTTGTGCCTTTTGGATAGAAAGAGCAGTTTTAGGATTAAATCAGAAATCTTAAAGGATCCGGATACTTTTCCGTTCTCTCAGTGATCCTGAGTCAACCACTTATCCCCTCTCTCCCTTGGTTTTCCTGTCTGTAACTCTRGAGTGGAGCATGTGCTTAAGCATCACGTGAAGTACTTCTAAGATTTAACCACAAGTGGTCATAAGGTTCTTTGTGAGTGCCTGGATGGAGTCAGAGGAAAAAYTTCCAGGAACTTCAGGAACGGACTATTGGATTAGGAAGCAGAAGACACTTAAATTTGTACTGGACACACTTTCTGCATAGTAATGGACAATAAGCATTTGCATCTTGACAGAGTAAATGTATTTTATTCCTAATGGCGCTCCAGGAATTTTTAAGACAGAAAGATTTATTTTATATAAAGCACTTCCAAGTTTGTCATTCTTTTGGTGGGGCAGAAGGTGTTAGAAAGGCTTCTTTTATAATAATGCATTTTGAAACTTGATTTTTTAAACAAACGCACATTCATCTGCAAGTTATCACGCTGTGCACAAAAAAATGATAATCCACCAAATCTCCTTACACAGGTCATGTGTTCTTCATTAGAGTAATCAAAATTTTCCATTTTTTCCTTGAAAGAGTCCAGTATTTCTTCATGTCTTGCCATGTCTGTAGCCAGGATTAATGTAATTATCCCCTAGTAAAGAAAACATGTTCACATATTAACTCCATGTTGTGTACAAAGTCCGTTATTGAAAAGTGGAGCTGTTGCGCACACACACACACACACGAAACAGATGTATTACATTAGTAACACTGAAAGGGGAACTTTCTGACTTCAAACCGCAAAATAGACTAGGAGAGAGTTATAAAGAGGTCATGGTATATTAGAGTTTGGCTAGGTTTATAGCACTGCTGTTATATTCTGGAGGAAGTAAGTCTCTTTCTTTCTCACTGGCTGACTGTGGGAATGGGGTTGTACCACAAGATGTTAAAATCCACATTCTGTTTTCTAAGATCTACTCTTGGTTCCCTGGAAAGCAGCATATGTTTGGCAGCAGACTCTAGTAGCACAAAGAAGGGACAAAGATCAGTAGAGGAGCATGGCCTCTGTACTCAACCTCCTTGGATGAAGCACTTTGAGGTACCCAGCCATGGGCACTGCAGCAGGGGCTCGGTATCTGCCTACTGGGCAGAATTTATGACAGGAAAATACATGGTTAATTAAAAGCTGCAAGTTTACACAGAATCACAGAAGGGTTAAGGTTGGAAGGGMCCTCTAGAGATCATCTAGTCCAACCCCCTGCTCCAGCAGKGACACCCAGAGCACGGGGCACAGGGCGGCATCCAGGCGGGTTTGGAAGATCTCCAGAGAAGGAGACTCCACAGCCTCCCTGGGCAGCCTGTGCCAGGGCTCTGGCACTCTCACAGGGAAGAAGTTCCTCCTCACATGGAGATGGAACTGCCTGTGTTTCARTTTGTACCCACTGCCCCTTGTCCTTTCACTGGCCACCACCAAGAAGAGTTTGGCCTCAACTCATTACATTCTCCACCTAGGTACTTATACCTGTTAATCAGATCCCCTGTCAGTCTTCTCTTCTCCAGGCTAAAAAGGCTCAACTCACTCAGTCTTTCCTCATAAGATAGATGCTCCAGTCCCTTAATCATCTTTGTCGCTCTGTGCTGGACTCTCTCTAGAAGATCATGCAGATCTGTCCTTTTTGGTCAATACCTGCTTCCCATGCATTGGCAGAACCAATGACTCTGACTGGGACAAAATAGGAGCCTTTTTTTGGTCTGCTGTTTCATTTGATGTGTAAGGGAGGTGTGGCATGGAAAGTAAGAACAATATTGGCCCCTAATGCTGCAATAGGAATTATGATATTGTTCACTGTCATAGAGATAACTGTGATGACTCCCAGTCCACCACAGCCTCTTCCAATGGCAAAAGTGCTCTTCTGTAGTAAACCTTTTCAATTTCAAAGTCTCTCTTGAAATTAATATATTGTTCTCTTAAAGCATAAACTTCTGTCATGAGCGTTTAATCCTTTCCAAGTCAGAGCTAACTGGCTCCTTCCATAACATAAATATCTACACAAAAAAATGTCACAGGCTTTAACAGTCAGGATGTGCTCATTATTTCTCAGCAAGACATTCCAGGGAGTGCAGTTGTGGAAATTATCCAAGAATCCCTTTTGAATCCTTCCAGTGTGAGGGTTTTCAATCCTACCCTCTGGGGAGAATGATTCACTTGCCTTGTACAGCAGGGAGGTCTGTGCATGCTGTAGCTTCAAGCAGAGCTTATATGGCACAGATGGGACCAGCATTCATACCTGTCTTATCTGCTTGAACTGGTCCTGGTCCACATTGGAGAAAATGTTGTATTCCGGCTGGGATATGATCTGGAAAGCCACGGCGCAGTGATGGTTCTCCAAGGGGGAGATGTCGTTGTAGCGCACTGCAAGCTCTGTTCGTGCATTTATCTGATAGCTGACAGGAAGGGAACAGTGAGAAGACCTACAGACACACACCAGCTGCTCCGAAACACGCTGCTAACTTTTATTCACATTCCTTGGAACATCAATTAGCCACATTTTGGGGAGGATTGTTAGTATTAAATCAGACTTTTAGAGAAGATGAATATTACTTTAATATCACTGCAGGCACTCCTCTCCCTGTAGCATATTTTATTTCCCCAAGTCTCTGTAGCTGGAAATGATACYGAATGAACACTGAAGGAGCAGCCTGGGTTTCGTTCAGCTCCCACAAATACTGACAGATGGATTCTCAATCAGAACTGGCTTCTGCCCTTGTTTAATGAATGACTACAAATTCGTTAGATTTTCTCTCCCTCCCTCTCTCTTTCACATACACAAGTGACTGTGAGTAACACTTCTACTTTCCTCACATTATCGTGAATAGAATAAGATAGACTTCATAATCTATAACAGTGAAATAATGTTGAGACAAATCATGTTGTATTTATTAATATTATTATCACTTTTCAGTCAGTGGAGCTATACTCATCTATGCCTTCTCACCTATAAAACACTTCCTCTTTTTCTTTTTTTTTTTTCCTCCCCCTCAGGAATAGAGAGGAAATCTAATAGAGCATTTTCCTAACAGAGCTGCGGGCAGCTGGCAACCCCAACCCAGAGATGAATTTTATGCATGAAAGGGAAATGTCCTGGCCCACGTGTGAGTGAGCAGTGAGCCTTGAGGGAAGGCTGTGGCCAGCTCAAGCTGTGAGGAGGAAAAAGTCATCCACAAAAATGCCAGCAAGTTTTACCTTCCCAATAAATTTTAGGAAATAGAAAGCAAGAGACTGACTTACGTGTTGTTATAACCAGGGTGATCCAAGTCATGGCATACTGCAGCGGTCATGAGAATCAAGATGTCAGTCTGGGAAAATTTCTCCTGCAAAGTACAATCTGTTAATGTAGTCTTGCAATTTTAACTTCCTCTGTCCCCACAAATGAAATGAAGAAAAAAGCACCCAAATTTACATTTCAGCGAGGTGCAAATCTGAGCAAAATGAAATATGTTTCCGTAGTTCAATTTAGTTCAGTCGAGAAAGAGATTTCTGCTTCCTTTCTAGCAAAAAAATGACTGAGATATAGCCTTTGTTGCATTAAATAGCAGTAGCTCAGAGGACACAATTTGCCTCAAATTTGCTTTTACTGCAGAAATTGGATGAAAGCACAGAGATATTAACACAATCTCTTAAAAGTCATTTGAATATCTTGATTAGTTTAGTTAGGACTGGCAGATATCTTAGCTGCCATTATATTTTGTATTAACTACAGCTATAAAGACAGTGAGAAAAATTAAAGTTAACATTGCTACAGCATATGGATAGGGAGAACTTTCGCATAAAAATGTTTTCTTCATACTCATGCTGGCAAGAAAGAGACTTAGGCCAGAAACTACAAGGTTTTAACTACAGAAAATAAGAGATTTAAAAAAAATAAAATTAAATGAATGTGCAACCACAGATTTTCAAGTCAAAGAAAAGAACTGTTGCCTCTAGTTTAGGGAAATGCACAAGTCCAGTATGAATCTTGCAGATAGTATTGCAAGAAATGCATTATTTGCACTAGATCACTCAGGTGCAATCAGAGTTTTGGAAAAAAAATGTGGAAATATTATGTGTCACAGGAAAAATGCAAATCTATGGGCCATAATTCAGTTGGCTTTGGCAATGTTTTATTCTATCAAAATGCCAAGAGGGCTTCTGTGTACAAGCTGGGAAAATGCTGGAGTTGCAGGTAGCTCAGGGCAGCCTCAGAAAGCCCAGGAGGTGCCTGGAGGCTGAGACAGRATGGCTCAGGGATCAGCTAAAGGCCAAAACCCAACACACAGCGCAACCTCTTTCCCCTTTTTGCCCTCCCCTTTCCAGGGAGTGATCAAGGGCAGCACCCGCAAGGCTCATCGGTAGCAAAGAAGTCAGTGGCCCCTTTGGCAATCCAGCTGGCTGAGCTTTTGGGGCGCTCCGTGGAGGAGCATGTGCCCCATGGGCTGCCATCGAGATGGGGGTCATACCTGGAGGCTGCAGAGGGAGATCATGCTGTACATCATCTGGGTCACGCAGAAGCAGTGTCGGAAGTTGTGGAAGGGGTTATTCCTGTAGTTGTCGTGAATGCACAGCTGCCCAAAGAGGGAAGGGAGCAGTCAGGGATAGGAGAGCTCTTTCTACATAACATTGTGAATACATAYATACTTCCCAGTGTCCCTGGAAGCAACGTATGTCCTTATGGGAGTCCTGTGGAGCCCAATATTTCTCTCTGCTAATACAAAGTCACAGCACAGGGCTTTCTGATGCACTTTATGGGCAAGGACAAGGGACAATTGCCTTACCTTTCAAGAATTTGTCAACATCATCTTAGCTATGCGGAGGTGTCCCCAAACTGCACTAGAAGGGACATATTTCCCAGCCAGCGCAGGCCTATTTATGTAAAGGCAGTGACAGCCTGCTGATTTTTCCAAAGTCTTGAGTGCTTTTGGAATCAGTAAACTCTCAGGCAGGTAATACTTGGAGCAGCTTTTCTCTGGTACCTGCTAGCCATGAGTAAACATCCCATTGCAGCTGTAAATGCATCTCAGTCCTAAAATAGGACCCTGTGCTCTCATCCTGAATTTGTATTTCACACTGTGCAGCTGCTAAACAGCCACTTTGGGGTATGTAAAGAACACAAAGTACATCCCCATTCCCCTCACTCACTGAATGCAAATTGCAGCTTGGAAATCTTCAAGGCAGAAACACACTTGTTATCTCATTTGCAATTACTCAGCTGGTGCTTTGGGATGTGCCTYTCGGCACACTGAAGATGTGAACACAAATGCAGTCGGGACCTGTGCACATTTGCTGCCCTAGGCAGTGTGGGTGAGATTCAGCCATGCAGACACGTGGGACTGAATTCTGTGTGTTCTCATGCTCATGTTCTCATGGCTGTGCACGTTCATTACAAACAAAAGCTAAAGCAGTTCTGGTGCCTCCTTGCTACTGGGTGAAGCTGGCACGGCACAGTTAGTTACTTTTATAACAGACTACATGGCCTTCCAGGTCTTTTCCTGCACATCAGTGGCACTGCTGGACCTCACCTGCTGAAGACCCAGTAGCCTAATGGGTCCTTACCCCTATATCTTAATTCCTGGATTTGAATCAATGATGMTGATGGCATTCTGCAGTCCTTCTCTAGCCAAGGGGTTTGCTGAGATGATTCTCAGGACTGCTCAGGACCAAACCCTTTAACCTGGCATGCGACGTATGGAAATGYAAAGCTCTGGATGCAGGTATGGACACTCAGTATGGGCTTTCCTCACTTACTAAATACTTGGGCTTCATTGAAAAAGCTGTTTAGGTTCTTCTGAAGCAAAGACTTCAAAATTACTTAAGATTATTCTAAAATGAGTAACTAATTCCACTATATGGCTGACAGCCAGGCTCGTGGGTGGTGGRCGATATCTCCCAGCCTCTGCGTAGACACATTGCTCATGGAGAGGCACTGTACAGCACTGCCTGGGTGTAATACATATATTCAGCACGTATATCCAGTTCTGGGGGTATGGAGCACCCCGGGGTAATTTTGACTCACAGCACCGAAGCGCTGSAGTGAGGGGGCTGCATTAGTCACCCTTTCCTCCTCTTCCTGCCGTATTCCTGCAGCTGGGAGTGTGGGAGCATGAAAGAAAGTCTATGCAGGAGGCAGCTTTCTCTCACTCACTGAAGTTCAAGTAGATACCCACTGTCTGACTGGGGAAGCATCACAGCTTGAGGCAGACTCCTTGGGGCTTTTAAACACCTTTCCTTCTGTGATGCRAGTGCTGGAGGAAGGAATTATCACCGTGTCTAAGACATGTATGAAATATATAGGAAACTCCCCTCATTGTTCTAAAGGAACATWCTCTCAAATGCTAGCAGTAAAAAAATTACTTGGAGAAACAAGCTAACGGGAAACCACCTGCTGTAATGCCAGTGGCTGGGTGGGTATGTTGGTGCATGTAGACATATCAGCTTGTTTCCCATGCTTGTAGACTGCGACACAGGAGGTGGAAATTTTCTGTTTCTTCTGCCCTGTGCTAGTCTTGATTGTATTGGGTTTCATCCTACCCCTTCTGTTCAGCTAGGTTCTAAGGTCAGCAATATGAAGCTTTTCAACTACCTCCTTCAGGGAGAGATTTCCCAGATCGTGTTCATTTTTTTTTTTTCAAAAATCTCCTTAAGTATAGGCATAATATTAGTCTAAAWTGGCTTAACCAGTGGAACACATAAATGGCAGTCAAGCCTTATGTTTTGCATAGAGACATGTTAATATTYATCCGTTTTATCCCTTGTTCCAGTCTCTAATCAGCCCAATGCCTCCCTAGCTTTGGGCTGCAGCAGCACACCAACTAGTGATAATCACTAGCTGCTCAGGTACTTTTTGCTCTTAATGTACATATTGGTATGAAGAATTCAGTATTTTGCTTTCTAGACACCTTCTGCCTGCGAGGAATTTGTTCAGACCTTTCTGGAAGTCTACATCAATCATATAAAAGAGCTCCCTCTGCTCTGTGCATACCTTTCAGATAATTAAGTGAGACTAATAATCAACATAATTCTTCACCTTGGTAATCATAAGAAACTTGTTCATGTTATGAACTCYACATCATGACGTTTTTAGTTATTGTTCCAATAAATTTGCCAGGTAGAGATGTCAGCGCTGCTAATTGTAATCGCTCAGGTTATTTCTCKATCCTTTAAACAATGAGCAATATATTTACTATTCTGCAGTCCTCTAGGACTGATGCGTTTTACTTAGGAAGCCAACATATTCTTCAGCTTTTTAACAATTTCATTCTTACATTCCCTGTTGCGCCTGAAATTTTTTTTTTTTTAATACTCCAAGTGTCTCTTCTTTAGACATCTTAGTTTCTGGTATGATCTCATCTTTATCATGTCTGGCAATTCTGCAACACTCCCGACAATGAAAACCAAGCAGAAAAGTGTTTTAGCTTCTCAGCATTTTTGTTTCTTCCCTTCTGTGCTCTTTAAGAGCATGATTTGTGACACAAAAGCCCTAATAATTATTTTATTGACTGGCTTGTTATCTGCATTTACATTAGGCAAATGCCCATCAATCACCAGAAACAAAMTGCTTACACCAACAGAAAGCTCAACAAACAAATGCAAAACTGATAAAAATTGTCATTTGTGACCACAAGAATGCAAACACTTGCAGCAGTACTTACACTCTTAAGTGTGTGTATGGATTGACTGCTTTCACTGGGCTCACTCATGTGAGCAAAGCAAATTCCATGTCTTACTATTTTGTTTATAGATTTGTGAATTTGAAAAACTGCAAATATCAGTAAGCTAAAATACTTACCAGCCACCTCTTTAATGTGATGGGATTGATGTTGAAGTCTTTAACTAGCCCAAGATCATGGTACATATGTTCTAAACAGCTCAGCATCTGTGGGAAGGGATAGGATATTAGCTTGGTAAATATCACTGGAGTTAACAGTACAGTGCAAAGTGAATTTTCTCCTTGCACGCCTCCTGTGACTGCAGAGTCCTTTTGTTAAGATGAAAGGAAGATGTTCAAAGATTTCATGATTAAAGACAGTGCAGGGGAGGAGGCAGAAAAGTTCTGAAAGGTTTTTGAAGTAGAGAGATCACTGCTGACCATAGGTTTTGCACAGGGCTTTGAATCATAACCACTCTYGTTAGCAATCACGATGCAGCATGAATATCGTAACGATCCCTTCTCAGGAAAAAGCACTGCCTTTTTTTTCCCTAGTTCTTTGGGGATATGTATGGATTTGTTTTAACGCTCAATGCAATCAATGAGAATTTTATTGATCAGACCCTACCTGGAGAGAAAGTGGCAGCAGAAAATAAGACATGCTGAAAGCGGTGTGTATTCTAGACATAAAACGTCTTTTTCCTTTTATGACTACTTGTCAGTTCTTAAATCAGATGTCCTAACTTTTTTGCTTGCTTAAAAAAAGACCTCAGTTTATTAGCACACTAAATTGTAGCAGGTTTATAAACACCCACTCTCACAGTCTGGAACTGTGAATCATAACGGCTGAAATGCCAAGGCAGGATGTTCCTTTGAGACAAGGTCTATGCCGAGGTACATATGGCAACACAGGTATTATGGTGCTGCCACTCCTGGGTAATCTTATATCTTATAATCTTGAAAATATTGCAAATCTTTGTGGAGAAGGATTTGGGAGTTCTGTTTGACAACAAGTTAACCGTGAGCCAGCAGTGTGCCCTCGTGGCCAACGGGATCCTGGCCTGCATGAGGAGCAGTGTTGCCAGCAGGTCAAGGCAGGGGATCCTGCCCCTCTCCTCAGCTCTGGTGAGGCCGCACCTGGAGTATTGGGGGCAGTTCTGGGCTCCCCAGGACAAGAGGGATGTGGAGCTTCTAGAGAGGGTCCAGCATGAAGTGACAAAGATGAGTAAGGGACTGGAGCATCTCTCTTATGAGGGAAGACTAAGCCAACTAGGCCTGGAGAAGATAGGATTGAGAGCGGATCTGATCAATATGTATTGATCAGTATGTACAACTACTCGAGGGCAAAATGTGAAGAAGATGAGGCAAAATTGTTCTTGGTGRTGGCCAGCAACAGAATGAGGAGTAATGAGTATAAATTGAAACACAGCAAGTTCCACCTCCATGTGAGGAAGAGCTGCTTYCCTGTGAGGGTGCCAGAGCCCTGGCACAGGCTGCCCAGGGAGGCTGTGGAGTCTCCTTCTCTGGAGATCTTCCCAACCTGCCTGGATGCCGCCCTGTTCCCCGTGCTCTGGGTGTCCCTGCTGGAGCAACGGAGCTGGACTATAGTTTGCATAGTAACAACGGGACTGGTTTTGAGTCATCTTAAAAGGAAGAAAGTGACTTGCCCACAAGACTTGAGGAATAAGGTCATGAGCTGATCTGTGCTCAGATACAGTGTTTTGATACACATAAACTTGTCTCATTCCTTGCAGAAAGCTTTCTAAAGCAATAAACCTGAGCTGGATCTACAAGGGCTGAGTTATGCTCAGGAAATGCCAGTCTCCCTCCATTCATTGCCAGAAGGGCCCTGGGTAAATTGCTGGGATGGTTTGAAATCTCAAGGCTTTTGCCTCAGAGTTGGGTGAACGCAAGGGTCTCAATTTTCATTAAAAAATTAGCCGCATCTTTCTTAGTCAACAGCAAAAGTTTAAATACACTCTTCTAAGGCTTAAAATAAGTAAGCATTTGATAATAATGCGAGTTTGCTGGCTAGTTCTGTTACTAACCTACTGCAGAGCACCACATTATTTCCTTGTTTACTGAGTACAAATACAACAGTTCATTGCTAAAGAAGTTCTGCAGAATGGAAATATTCTCTGCAAACATAAACCAGAACTAAAAGGATGAGATAAACTCTCATGGTGCTTGGTCACCAAGGTTTGGGTGATATCTCATTTCTGGGAAGTGCTCCTCCTTGCAGGACATGGTGATCTCCATACCATCTTGCTAGCAGCGTTCATACCATCATAAGTTGTTTCCTAGCACTCTACATGAGTTACTTTGCTAAAATACTATGYGTCAGCACACAAGAATGCAAGGAAAATGTGTTTTTCTTTGKTTTTTTTTTYCCCCTATTCTTTCCACCTGGTGAGTCGTAATTCTACCTTKCTTGAAAGGCCTGACAGACACTTAAAAGATGGGGCATGCAATTTTTCCTGAGCAACTGCATGTTGATGGTGCAGAGAAATGGGACAGGWAAGGGAGCAGTAATTGCAGAGCATCCATCTCAGCTTGGCACAGGCCATGTGAGCAAATTTCCACAAACGGGAGATGGAGCAGAGCACCACCAGAACGTCCTTCTGCTAGTCTACCAGCAAGATGAAATCTCTTGAATGAAATATGGTATTTCTAGGAGGGTGAGGTTTGGAATATTCTTCCTCATCATCTTCATCCAGAAATACTCAACCTGATTGACTCTTGTATGTGTAGAATTTTACTGAAAATTGGATTGTGCTTTTAGTGCCACCTAATACTTCCCTTAAGAAAAATCCAGCACTAAAACCCTAATTTAGCCCTGTCCTTCCTTATGCATTCCCTAGGTGAGACTTACTCAGATCTGYGGAGTCTCATTTTACACTGTATTATAAGCTGGTCATTGGAGATGCATCCTCCTTTGTGTTTCTGCAGAGGCACATTGGACTGTCTACAAGCTTCCATTATACCGACGATAAACAAGAATGATGATAATTCTAAGAGGCTGTGCATGCAGATTTACAACTTCATAAGCTGCCGCAGAAAAATCTTTGCATAAAAGGGTATGACTTAATGCATCTATCTCAACATGGATAACTCCTCAGCAGGTAACTCCATTGATTTATATGGATTTATATATAATCATTTGCTTAAAATTAAACATATACTTTCCTAGGGATCTAATTACTCAGATAAAATGGCATGAGAGAACTCATGTGGCATTAATGATAGTGCCAGGTCTTTATTAATCATTCCAAAGGAATGAACAATGAGGAGATTAAAAAAATAAAGAGAAGAAGTCAAGGTTTTATAAGTACATAATGTATTTGGTATCTGTAGGGAAAATGTACTGTTTTCTGGTGTGATGTAATCAAAATACAGCACTATATTTTAAGTATACAATTTTAAATATGTAGTTTGACTTCCTGATTTAAAAGAAGCTAGTTTAAGTTTACAAGAGAAAAAATCTAAAAGAAAAAAGAAGAACAAAAAAGAAACTCAGCAAAGGGTGCTATTGAATACGGGCTAATCCATAAGGGTATGTCTTCACTATGGAAATGAATATTTCTCTGGGTGACTGGTTCATCACAGCCAAAGTGCATCCAGGGACTCTTTGGCCCTTAGCATCTCAGCCAGGAGAGGCTGCACCTTGGGTAGTATTCACCATGGCTAGCTCAAGGCATGCCTAGGATGACCATCTTCTTCACAATCCTGTCAAGGCTCCCAGGCAGCAAAGACCTTCACAGGTCAGGGCCAGCTGCAACAACCAGTGGGATCCCTGACCCATGACTGCCAAGTCTACCCCCTGGTTACTTGCTTGTAAGCCCAGAGTGTTACTTAACCCCTGTGTTGTTACCTCATTGGGCTCCCACAGCCAGACGTCGAAGGTTGGTTTCCGAAGAGCTTCGATGGTCTCTTGGGAGAGCATGTACTGTGGAGGAAATGGCAGGCAGCGTTAGCAGGAACGCCTGCATCTGYGCGGGGTCACAGTCACACGTCTCTGCAGCTCCCCGGGGCCTTGCTCATGTGCATCTTGGCCTCATTTCCCAAGGAAAAAAATCCCTGTCTTTGTCTTTCTCCTTTTTCTCCCAGTAAATGTAGAGCCAGCAGGCTGCTCAAGGCGTTGCCAGTGCAGGGATGTAGGTTGCTCAGGCAAGGAGATGTAAAGGGTGTAGGATGTGAATCTGTCCCCCTGCTGCATTAATTTCACTGCTGGCAAAACGATTTAGTGCATTTAGTGCATCCAGTCATGGCTAGATAATATGAAGAGTATATGCTTATAATTTTGAAGGAGTTAATATAATATATGATGATTTATAGTCTCTTTCTGGGTGTTTTTTCAAGAAGTCCCACTCCTTCAAATTGGTTGTCAGCCTGTAAGCTTTAGGTAATTTTTTATCTTTATGCTCAGTGGCTCAAAACAAAATGCAATTCAGCAGGCAGCTGAGATTTGTTTATAAAGAGACAAAAAGAGACTATGAGGGGTAAAAAGATCAGGGAAGAAGCTGAACATTACTGAATAGTATTTTTTAGACATTATTGCACAAAGTCTTTCTGGAACACAAAAATCTTGTAACTTTAATTGGTTCATTTACTATGACTGTCTGTAATTAGTTAGGGTTTGCTATACTGAGAATCTGAATGCAATTATTTGAGCCATTAAATTAATTTGAGCCATCAAATTGTTGATGCAGAATTAAGATGCAGGGAAAAATAATGCTAAAGATGAATCTTCATTCTGGAGAAGGCAACGGTTTTTGCCTTTACATATATAATGTACTTACAACATGATTCTCTGCCAAGAATCTGTGAGTTAGCAGCACTGGTGTGTTATTTAATAACAGTGTGGTTGTGGTCACTTGTTCTTTCAGCAGAATCCTCGCCTCTTGGCTTAACTAGCAATGGGCCAGTGCATCATCTCAAAGGTCATTAACAAATATCACAGATCTGGCAAACTGAACCCAAACTTCTTCTGAAGCCAAAATCCTATGAGCCTTGTTCTGTGGACACACAGYGTCAGTTTACCCTGCAGTCACTCTGTGCAACTCTCCATAGCATTTGTTGTTAATTTTAAGTCCCGGTATCATAGCAATAGATCAAAGCTGAAGCAATATCTGGCATAAACACTTACGAAGCAAATAAATCAGTTACATTTGTCCTATATTGGACAAAATTTGATTAAAAAGACCATTAGTCTAGTGATGCCCACTTCATAGACCTGGGTGTCTCTTTTACTAGGCAGGGCATAATAAATGGCAGTCTTCTAATAACACGGATGGAGCTTACAAATTCCTAGTTCTGTAAGGCTCTAAAGACAAATTTGCAGGGATGGGTGTTGTGTGGTACAGTCAGGTCACATGTGGCCATGAGAACTTGAGAGCCACTGAGGCAGCTTTGGTCCGTGGAAGCAAATGACCACTGTTAAACCAGGGCTTGCACATTTGTGACCTGCTGTTTTGTCAAGGTGCAAGTTGGGAACCTCAGAACTGCATCCTGGCAGCTTTGTACAACTCCTATGGAGAAGGACTGCAAGCACCGGGACTAGAAATCCTATTTGTTTCGTGGTTTTGGCCTCATTCACCACTGCAAATTTGTACCCAGGAGATATTTTTTTTTTATACATTGACATTTTCTCTAGTAAATACACTAACTCAATATTTTTTTTTTATACATTGACATTTTCTCTAGTAAATACACTAACTCATTTTCACAGTGGTAATGAATCATTCTGGAAAGAATCCAGTGTAGCATTTTCTATTTGTTTTCCCAACTGAAGCATCTCATAAATTACTTTTAAAATTAAGAAAATAATCCATTAGGAGAAAACAGGATGCAGCATTATTTTTAATTAGAGTACGGCATTATAAGCTATTTTCGATCGTGTGCCACAAGCATGCAGAATAAGAAAATACTACTAGATAAAAGAGCATTAAATGTTGACAAGTGCAAAATGGTCATTAACATTTTAGAGTCTAATGAGATTTCAAGAATTAAAGACTACTAAGGATCCAACTCTAAGGCCATTGCAGGCTAAGACAGCTTTGCCATGGGCTTCCAGGGAATATGGATGAGGCCTTAGGTTCACAATAATTAAGTGATAGATGCCTAGGGAGTCATGCATGGTAAAATGACCTTTGTCAGGATGGCAAGCATATGTTAGGATGCGGATAAGAGTGAGTATTGGACAGTACCTTTGGGTAGGAGGGGACATCCCGACGGGGAGCTGGCCTCTTGTTTTCATCCAAAAAGCTGTACTTGCAGGGACAGTTAGTCCTGAAATGAAATATTTGGYCCTTAGCGTTGTAGGAACAGCACTGCCTGGCCTTGAAAAATGCCAGGTGTGTTTTGGTCTTTTCGTAGGCACTGCTTGGGGGTTATGTCACTTCCCAATCTCTCCTTTTCTAATCTCAAATGCTTTSAAAGCCTGATCCTCTTTAGGGCGTTCTCCTCCTGTACAATGCTCCCATCTCCTTTTCTCTATATATTTGAATTCAGGTGAGGAGTGTCTTTTTTCAGTCATGTATTCATGGATACACAACCCCTTCTATTTAATCTTAGCAACTTTCCTTTCAGCAAAGTGCCTTTTGCTCGTGTGCTTTGCTCGTGTGTGAGTGTCTGCACCAGCACTAGTAGTGAGAACAGGCAKCCGCTCTGCTCTGCCCTGGTTGCTGGTTGGTGCAGCAGAGCTCCCCACCTTGCAGCCAGGGGCTTATGCCCCTGGAGAGAGCCACCTTGCCAAGCACTTTGTGTCGGGCAAGCTGTTTCATCCCTGCAATGGCCCTGGGCCATCCGAGAGAGGTGGACACCAATGCCAGGATCATGTCATATTGCACCAGTCTTGTGATGATACCTTGCCTGCATTTTGCATTTATCCCAGGGGACCCAATATGTGCATTACTCTCTCATTTTTCACCAACCATTCATTGCACCCACTCTATCTATCTGCTTCTCAAGATTTTACACCTTTTGGGTTGTATCTCTTTTTAATGCTTTGCCGTTGGGAATTGACCCACATTCTCCTCTTGTCTTTGATCTCCACTGTCGTTCCTAATAGCGCTGTCTGAATCCTTTGCAAAGTCATTTCATCTTTTAGCTCATGCTGGTCAGCAGGCCTCAAACAGCTGCCTCTTCCTGCCCTGCTTAAGGAGATTCTCAGTGGGAGAAAAGCTCTCTTTATCGTTTATAAACTCATTTCCTCAAAACTCCACTGTGAGGAGTATTAGTGGGGTAAAAATAGTGAGACTGGGGCATGGCTTGCCCTGAGGGCAGCTGGCTGCCAGGGTTAGCCCTGGGTCAGCCAGTCACCCTTTATTTTGTTAAGGCTGTAAGACTCAAACCTTCACCCTACCGCACCGAGGAGCGCACAGGAGCCAGGGTGYGTCAGGCCCTACAGACCTACAACTGTGTCTATATGTGATCACAGCTGTAAAAGACACTATCACGTTATTAGTGTCTGCCGAAAGRGAGCACAAAAAGCAGGCGAGCAGGAAAAGCAAACAAGGTCAATGACAGGAGGGCTGCTTTGCTCCTCTGCTGGGTAGGAAAGCACATCTCACTGTGATGATGGGATGACTTCTATAAACCTAGCTGTTCATCCTCATCCTGTTGTCCTGTAAATGTGAGAATATGGAACTATAGAAGAATATAGCTATGTATATATTGTGATACGAACGGTCCTGCTTCACAGCAAGACTATGCAAGGAGCACCCTCTCTTCACACATACAGCAAGAAGAAGATGACTTACAGCAACCCCTGACTACTTGCTGAACCTGGCCTGGATTCTGTGCAAGCATCTCTGCATCACTGTTGCAGGACCTCAGTGTTCAGCTTACATTACCAAGGAGAAATGGAGATGTGGCAGGGCATGACGGCGGGTCAGTGGGACAAACACCTGGAGATMCAAGATCCACAAAAGGCACATCCAAGTCTACGGGGCATTTTTTTGCCTGTATATATTGCATATTTTCCAGGTGCCACATGAAGTGGTTTTCTTGCCACCAACAAGAAAAGCAGAGCTGTATGGCACAAGACGATGCTGGGCAGAGTGAGTTAGACCTCTGCTTTAATTAAAGCATGTCTACAACTGCCTTGGTAGCTAGCAGCAAGCGAGCCCCAGGGATGCTGCTCCCACAGGGGTGCATCAAGCGCAGACCACGTGTGAGTTGTTTGTCCACCAGCAATGGCCACGGGTTTACACTGCTCTTGCCTTGCTGTCTGTCAGTCCTGACCCTTCCAGACCCCAGGCTGCAAGGGTCTGCCCGTGCATATCACACTCCAAATTCCTTTGTCAGAGACGGTGGCGCCTCACAGACGGATCCGCAACTTGATGCTGCCCAGACCCATCTGGCCCCAAAGCTCCGGAGATGCCAAGAGTCCCCCAGATCATAGGAGAGGGGTGACTGATTGCAAGGGAGATTCAACCAGACTTGGAGCACGCTGTGCTGGACAGATGTAGCCCTCCCCRTTCCTGTCTTTCTTGCTAAATGGGTAGCCTAACATACTGCTGTTTATATTGCAAAATATAGACTGCAAAAAGACAAGATCTGTGACAGGAGTGAGTCATGGCTGCTGCTGGAACAGACCTGCACTTCTTGATGCATGTGGTGTTAACTGCCTGAGTGTGAAGTTGCCATAACTCCTTTCTTTCTTGGCTTTACTTTTCTATCTGTCTGTGCATCCCTAGACCCATCAGTTTGACTCTCCCARCTCCCTGTAACATTAAAGGAAAAATAAAGACACATGCATGCACACACACACGTTATTCACAGCACATCAAGCACAAAACAGCGTATGTGTTTTTGTGTTTGCTGCCAATCTGTGCTCTGATTTTTCTAATGAGATTTCCTCACACACCTGAACACGACATGATGCAAGCCCCAGGGCACTCTGCAATCCATCACACTGGTCTAAATCTGGAACAGATCTTCCGAGGTTAATAATGTTACTCTCCATTTATGCTAGTATGACAGCTGAATGTGGCCTTAGACTTTATAGGAATGCATTAAGAACCTGCCTCCTGACATATCTGGATAGCAAAATTTATAAAAGCCAGTGATTATAAAAGCCTATTTTTTTTAGCAAATCCCCCATTGCCCTCAATGGGAAATAGTTTTTATTAAAGGTCACAGAATTTGACCCCAAATGAAGAAAAAGGGAAAGACTTTCAAGATAACRTAGTTACATTTGCAGAGAAAAATTCCCTTTACCTGCAGTGTGAGCAGTATGGTAAATCCCTTTTCATTTCCAGAAGTATTCATAATCTTGTGGTGATGATTTGTGTGTCCTAATGGGGCTTGTTGGTGGCACGGGGGACAGGCTTTCCAGCTGAAACCRTATACCTTATCAAATGCATTTTTTCTGCTGTTGTTTTAATTACAGGGAAACCAAGCTTGACAATTGCAGAATGAGCCCTTTAATTAGAAAGCAAGTTCCCAAATTCTCTTTGAAATTGAGAYGGGCATTTTATAATAGCATGAGATCATAATTAGAAGAGCTGCTATACGTTTCTTTCCAGACTATGGTTTAAATCTTACTGGATCTAATTTGAATGTTATCTGTTTCCCAAGCAAATGCTTCGCTTTGCAGAAGTGCTTTTCCCTTTCCCTGTCCCTCCCACAGAAGAGGGAAGAATTTCATCTGTTCTACATGAGGGAAACACAGGCAAAACTGTGCTCCGTGCTGCAGGACTTCTTTTCTCTCACCCTGAAGCCTGCACAAACTGAAGCATGGCCATAAACYCTCTAATGTAACAGGCTGTTAAATCTAAGCCAACGTCCTTAACAGCTCGTTGTTTCATTGCCCCTATGCTCTTGAGCCCAGAATGTAGCTCTGCTCTGCAGGAATGCTGCATGAGCCCTGGGAAACAGATGCYGATTTTTTCAGCGTGCTGGGGAGCAGAGCTTACCTGGTGCTTCTTGCTGCCATTTCCTCCCTCATCTTTTTAATGTCGCTCTTGCACTTCTCAATCTCCACTACTTTCAGGCCTTCCACTGTCAACAGAGGGAAACAACGGGGGTGTTACCATGGCGAAACTCCACGGGTCTCACTTCAACAACCGCGCCAACTTCCAGAGGTGCTGGCGGCAGCGGCGGGATGTGGAGAGCCGGCTCCTGCCTGCGGCGCTGCCGGAGCGGCGCATCCCCAGAGCCCGCGGGAATTCCGTGCTGCCCGTTTTGGATAACAGCTCGGGAGTTTCAACTCGTGGAGCAGCCGCCAGGTCTCATCTCTCCCACGGCTGTGCGCAGCAGCCGGCTGTCCTGGTGCCTTCGCTTCTCTGCTGCGGAGCGCTAATTCCGAGGGGCTCCCGAGCAAAAAACCTCCGGCGATGGGGTGATAAGCGCAGCTAGACGAACACGTCCCGGTAGGGTTAGAATTCCCATTAAGATGAAAGGTTTTAATTTGAGAGTTCATGCAGAGCATTAAGGAGCGCTAGAGGCATTACTAGCGATGGAGAAAGCAGAGGGAGAATGCAGGGGAGAGAGCGAAAGGGAGAAATGTCGAAAAGTTTGGACACCAAGGATTGATTTCACTGTGTTTAAGTATTGAAGATCTGTCACTTTTTTGTTTTTTTTTTTTTTTTGTAAATCAATTTTGCAATCAAAGGCTATTTCTGCATGCAGCACAAAAATCCTATGTTCCCCTGCCGTATGTAATTATGAGAGCCACAAGGCAAAAAGTTTGATTGCTTTTTTACGTTGCAATTCATTTCGCTCCATGTAGCTGTGAGGACCTAATGCAGGGCACTGCATCCATGAATATTCTCCTTTTCCTTTTCCCTCTGGCTGAGCTATCAGCATGTTCAAGGACGTAATATACAACCATGTATTAAGTGCATGTCATTCACATGGAATCATTTCACAGCTTGTTTGTTTACTGAACTCATCGTTTGCACGGACAAGCTGTGTTCAGGGAACTCAAGGGAACAGGTAATTTTACAATTGCTTTCTTATAAAATCATAGTCAGAATCATCATACTCGTCTGGAGGGTTACATATAAGCAACGACAAACTGCTTTGGAAGGGCAGAACTCTGGAKATCAGCAGAGACCTCGTTTTTTATTTATTTATGCTACTGATTGCTTTGAGATGAGGAATAGGGACAGGAAAAAGCAGTAGAGATATATAAACCAAGTTCAAAGCTTCATATACTAAAAGAGGAAAAGGAAAGGGTTTTGAGTTTTTGTTTGAATATAGGGATACCACCCATTCAAAAATCGCTTTTCCAGATGATCTTTTTATCCCAGCACCATTAAAAGCAATTTCTTTGGGTGATCATCATTGAAAGGGGTGATACAGGTAAGATGCTGCCCTGCTTATTCAGTATCTTCACTCTGGATCTGGCTGCACATTTTGTGTACTCAGTTCAGCAGTTTTGCTGCTGACCTGCAGCCCCTGCACTACCACATCCCACCCACCCGTGTGCACTTCTCTGTGAATCCCTGGTAGTCCATTTGCCAATACTGGCTAACTGGGTGGCCGGTCCATACCAGAAGCAGTGGGAATAAAGCAGAGTATCAGACTGACAAGGCAGCGGGGCAGGCAGCTGCAGAGAGCAGGAGAGAGATGGTGCAAAAAAAAAGCAACCTCAAGCACTTTCAGTATCGTTTCTTTTTAGTTTTCTGCCCAAACCTCCCCAGAGAATTTACACAATTATTTTCTTAAAGTAGATGTGAGGCGCTTACAAATTGTCAAGGGCTTTGCCAGCTTCCTTAGTCATGTGTTGGCTGCTGTGTGAACGCTGGGACAAAGCAAAGCCGTGGAACAAAGCTTTTCCAATGCTTTCCCTGCACGGATGTGTTTTCCAAGGGGAACTCACAAGCTTTAGATGGGATTTAAAAATCAGTTAAAAGATCTGGCTCCCTGAAACACATTTCTGTGATTCTSTCTCTAGACGGTAATGGGAAGGAAGCTGAGAACATATTATGTGAGGTGCAGATGTAGAGCTGTCATGAACTCTTATTCCCACACACGTCCCTCCTGGGGAAGAAAACCTGGAGATCACATGTGGAAGTAGTGGAAAAGGGATTTCYGAAGGAGGTAGGAGAAAAAGCAAAACAAAAGCACTATTCTACCCACATTTGGCTTGCAAGTGATAAATGGCCTTGTCATGTGCGCTGATTAAGGGCTCATTATCTTATTCTGCAGCAAGAAATGCCTCTGAAAAGACCCTGTGCTGTCTAAAGAAATCCTTGGGCCGAATCCAGTACTGAAACGTGGCTCCTCGAGCAGCCGTCGGGAGACTGGCCTGAGTGAGGAGCTGGGATCCTTCCCCCCTCAGTTTTGCCCTTGCTCTTTTCAAAACCTTGTGGATCTGGCTCTGCTGCAAGCTCTGGAAGTCCAGTTTTGAGCAGAGGGGTGCCCCTGTAGACAGGCATCCCGGGGAGCTCCTGTTGTTGGGGCTGCCATCACGAGGGCTGCAGCAGAAGGGCAGCAAGCTGCTGCGTCTGCTGTTATTTCCATCAGAAGAGAGTTTGACAAAAAAGAAGCCTCATTTGGGAAATTTAGTTCACCTGCCTGGCATGGCACCTCCGGGAATGCTGCCTTCCTTAAACCAGCAAAAAAAAGTGCTGTTCAGTGCAGATGACTTTTTTTTTTTTCCCTCTGGCAACTCTTTTTTCCCTCTGGCAGCTGCATGTGGATCTTCGCTCCCTCCCTCTGTGGCTGGGGCTGCGGGGCACAGCCGGGAGTCCTGGCAGCGTGGGGAAGAGACCAGGGAGAGCAGCGCCCCATGGCTGTGTGGGGCAGTCGTTTCCCTCCTTGCTGACAGGGAATAGGGAGACCCATAGGAAGGAAAGCCCCATTTGCCTTATTTGCTCTAGTCCGGGAACGGAGCCCAGAGCCCTGGAACTGGTTAGTAATTTCATAGAAAAGCAGAAAACGGTCATCATTTTCAAAGAAAATGCAGAGCAAGGGAGCTGATCTCTTTTTCTTCCTCCGTATTTGTTTATTTATTATTTTGGGAGGGGTTGGAGGGACAAAGCMATAAATCAGTGGTGCCTCAGAGATACTGTGGCCAAGCAGAGCGGGTGGGATTGCTGCCTGGATTCCTTGCCTGCATCCAGGCTGGTGCTCGGGACRCTGCAAGGTGTCCAGGCACAGGCTTCCCTGCACCGGAGCTTGTGGAAAGCTTGTGGAAAGCTCTGGCTCCTGCTGGGTTGGCCCCTGGGAGAGGCTTCCCTGCAGCTGCTCCCTCAATGGGAGATGTTTTTTCCTTTCCCTGCTGACAAAGGCATCAGTTTCACCAAGCAGCTGCAGGGTCAAGGTAGTTTCTGGATGGGGGAAATCTCAAGACTTTTTTTTTTTTCAATTTTCCGTGAACCAGAACCTTTTTTTTTTCTTTTTTTTTTCTTACCAGTCAGCTTTAGTGAGAAAGCACTTTTTGCAGCTGTGGCGTTGGGAAAAATTCTGCCCGTTTCTGACTTAAATGTTGCATGTCAGTGAGGATTTGACCTTTGGTTTCAAAGCCGTGCTATGTGACAGGGCCTTATTCATATCCCTACCCCGGCTTTCCTGAATCTGTTTTATGCATAACATACTAAAAAATTACAAGGCAGACGCTGCCTGGAAGAAAAACAGAAAAGGAGCTCTTTGACCAGATGAACTTTACTTTGTTGCTGCACGGTAACTACAAACAATTGCATTGCTCTCAGCAAAGGAAACAAACAGGGAAACCTAGAAATGATACCGTGTGCTGGCTCTGTTCTCCACTTCATCCAGGAAACAGGGAAGTGTGGATTTCTGYGCTCGCAAGCCAGAAATCACTGCCTCTTAAGATCCGAAGAGATACCCTCTGGTTGCATTTAACTATGCATTATGCTGCATGTTTATGGATGCTTCTGGTACCATCCCTGATTTATGCCCCCCGTGGCATGGATGTGTGCAGATACGAGCCAGCTGCAGGGTAAGTCCTGACCACATTTCAGCCCCACACAGAGCAGAAAAAGGCAGAGAGGGAGGGAGTTGTACGCACGCTTATTAGAAACATGCTCAGGCCTTAGTGCTCAGGATGGACTTTAGCCAGGAGTAGGAACAAGCCCCATTGCGCTCGGTTTAATGTACAGTGAATGTATTTCTGAAAGGACAGAGTCTAAAGGAAAGGCAGAGGGTTTGTCCTGCGCAAATATCCAACATAATCAATGTGGGAGAAGGCAGCTACATTATCCTCCTTTAATTAGCTTGAAAAATAGTAGCGAAAAACAGAGCTTGAAGGCAAATAAAGGGACACTCACATTCAACTTTTTTCTCCAGCATTGCCAAGTGATTAGCTACTTCCGTTTTCATTTCATTGATTTTAAAAACCCTGGAAAGAAAACCCTCATATATTAATGTTATACATATAGTGCCGTGCCTATGCTATCTACAAAAGATTTTGTGATAGAAATGTCTACATTTTTCAGAGGATGGGTTACTCTSTCTGTGATGGCCATAAGGAAAACAAAACCTGCCACAGAAATGTAAAACTTTTGGTGGAAAATACATGTGTTCAAAGGATTTTCTGAAAAAAAATCAACCAAATGATTTTGTWGCATCCACCACAGCCCTGAAACACCTCAATACCCCCTCTCTCAGCAGCAACTTGTTATTGTACCCCCTTGGGAAGCAAAGTTGATTTGAAAATGCTTCATCTAACATGGGCATCTTGTTATTTTTACACCTCTGAARCTCTCCTCCTTTTGAATTTTAATGGTTGTTTGCTGAACTAGGGTGGAATAGATCTCTCTTATTGAGAGCATCTGGGAAAAAACAAGCAGCAATACAGACTTCAGAAACCCTGTTTGAGGAGAAACAGATCTGTATGAGAGCAGAAAAAAAAMCCTAAAACACAAATGTGATGATTTTAATGCTCTGTGAAGAAGCATTTCTTTTGCTTCATAAGAAGATAGAAACACAATAAAAACATTTATATTTTATACATGATGTACTTTTTAGATCAAAGATATGCCCAAATCACTTCTAGTTTAAGCTACTGTATTGATTTTAGAGTGAGATACATGTGTAACAGGCTTAAATTTGGCARGAAGAGTGGGATTTGAAGATCTTAAGTCCTCCCCCTTAGCACCTGTGAAAAGCTCACTTCAGCCCAATAAAAAAAAATGGAATTTTAAAATGATAATAATGCTGTTTGATTGCTTACCTTGAGAATTGCTCTGCAATTTGTCCCAATAAACTCTGAAACAATTCTTCTTTCTCTAAAAAAGCAAAAGGAAGAAATAACAGAAAACAATATAGCGAGGAAGGCACATCCAGCTCTCCTGCAAACTTGTATCTGCAGACTGCCAACCCCGATTAGGAAACATTTAGCCAAAAAGTCATCCTGGTCCTCTGAACAGAGGCACCGTTTGGGAATGCAGATTAGCCTGTGATTCCTCTTTCCTCGTAACTGCTGGTTTCTTTGATTATCTCCCTACTGCTCTGTCTCTGCCGATTACAGTCACGACTTTCTGAAAGATTTYCAGAGGTGCTGGCTCTCGGAAAGACGCCTTGTTTTATTATTTATAAAGGTGGTCCGCTCTGAAAAGGAGACTCCTTTCATATTTTCCAAGTGGGACACCAGAAGCGTCCCTCGCTTTTGGAAGGTTTGCCTCAGCGCCTGGCCTCCCGCTCACCAGGGCTCCCTTCATATCACCAGAAAGAGAATTTAAAATTGATCATAATGCTCTTCAGCACCAAAGCATCCAGCAGCAACACAGCAGTGCTTACAAACAGCAGAAAACCCAGCCTGCCTTTACCATTTACGCTGTGACATTACACCGGAGACTGCTTTTGTAGTGCAAATTTGAGAACATATAGCGAGGCATAAACTCCATGCAGGTGCCACATGCCGAGCTGCCCATCCTTGCAGGATGAGGTCCTGGACCCTGGGACCTCCACTCTCTGCAGAGTCCCTGGGATGGGCCCAACGGGACATTTGTAGCACGGATTTCCCACGCTGTTTTCCCTTGAACACAGACTTAGGGCAGACCCGGGGGAGCCTGCAGGCGATCGCTCCCGTTGCAAACTCCCGTTGTTGCTGCTGCCGGCTAAGGTGCTTTGGTGTCTGMAGCCCTGGGAACTCAGCTCGCTGCCTCCTCCTGCCAACTTCAGCACTGTGGCACTTACTTAAACCCGGCTCAGAAAAGTCAGCTAAGCGAAGTCCCAGGACCCCAGCTTGTAAGGGACAGTATATTTCAGTAAGGAAGAAGTAGCACAGTACAGGTTTTCTGTTCTTTCGGTACATGTCCACACTTGCATTCTCACAGGCAGAGGAAAGACAAGCCGTGTTTGCTGAGCTGCATTGCTTCTGCTCCTGCTTCCCCCCACACCAGTGCRCTGAACGTGCCCTTTGCTGCCGTCCTTCCCAGGCCTGTCTGCAGGTCTGGGTTCCTGGCTCAGAAGCAGGAAMGTTTGCATGCCTTCATATGCACCCCCAGGCTAGAGGACAACCCCACWAAGCCTAAGCAGAAATGCCCAACTGCCATCTCTGCGAGGACTTCTTGTATGTGTCCATGGGGAAATAATTTCCTCCCACATGCAATCACCTGAGCAAAACGCATCAAACCGAAATACAGCCCAGCATTCACAACAGATTTCTAAAAAGCCATCCGTGTACCTGTTGAAAAGAGCTGCAGTTCCTCACGTGTTAGAGATGTCAGAAACACATGCCAAGATATTCGCTTTTCTGTTCAAAACGATCTGGCACTCGCTTCTCCGCGCACCTCAGACCTCATCCCCGCACCTCAGACCTCATTTTCTCTTTCCTGGGGCCATCCGGCTCCCAGCAGCGTGGCCAGCAGAGCCCAAGAAGAGCCTAGTCCTGAGTACAGAGCCTCATTTCTGAGTTTCCGCCCCCAAAACCGCTCACAATGACAACTGACAAGGCAATTGCCGAGGCAGAGCAGGCAGGGGTCCCTGCGCCGAGCGGAGCGGGGTCTTACCGTCCGCGGCACCTGRGCTGTCCCGGCTCCCGCAGGGAGGATGGACACGGGAGCCCGTGTCCCCTCACCTCGCTGTGGCTGCTCGGCGCTCTGACAGCGGCTGTAGCACGCGAGAGACTGACAAGTTCCCTATAAACACTGTTCCAGTAAGGGGAAAAAAAAAAAAAAGAAAAGAAAATCTTACTTTCACTCCCTCCCCCTGTCAAAACTCGCCTGGAGTACTAGGACATTCTAATCCTGGGAACAGTCAGCTGCAATCTGATGTTTATAGATGTAATAAAAGACTTTCAAAACGAAGATGTATGTTTTTATAACCCTAGGGTGCAGTAAAGATATATGACTAAGAGTGGCAGTTCTCCTCATCTTAAAGAGACAAAGATCCATTTCTTTCGCCCCCGTTCCCAGTGAGAGCGGACACTTCTGGTAACCCCCTTTCCCAAGAAAATGGGCAATTGTGCCGGCCTCATTCAGTCTGGCACATTCCCCCTTTGCCAAACACAGAGAGTGGGCGTCCTTTTACTCCCTTCCTCATTGCCCTGCACCTTTCGTGTCTCCCTGCACAGGGCTGATGCCCCAGGTGCACACTGTTACCTTTTTCCTCAATTCTTTAGCTTGTTTTTTTTTTTTTCCTTTTCCGCCGTGATTCCCTATGGGATGAGGAAATGCCTCTGCACGCAGCACAGGCAGCTGCCATGCATGCTSCTTGGCAAGGGAGCCTAGCTCCAGCCTGCAGCAACTCCGGTGCTGGCAGCCTCAGCGGAGGCCGCTCCAACGCTGCAAACACAGTTTGCCTCCGGCTTGACCAGAAAGCAGGTGCCAGCTGGTGTCCCCACGGAGGCACCGGGAATACAGCAGGCAGGTGTCCAGGAGAGCCTCCTGCTCCAGCACTCCTCCATTTGGCAGCTGGGGGTTGCTAYGCTGCCCAGAGAGCCGTGCCCCTGCTTCCCGAGGCTTCCACAGCGGGAAGGAGAGCTCACGATGCCATGGTCCCGCAGGATCACTTTGGCTCRGAGCTCACCAGCATGACCCCCATCCCCGTCTTTGCATTGCAGGTGCCTGACTCCGTGCTGATACCGCACTGGGCACTCCCTAGAATAATAATCTTAATCCCCATCTGTCTCCCATGCCTGGGAATGGGCAGGAAATGAAAAATTTTCTTAGCAGGACTCCTATGAATATCTCCTTTATTGGATAAAAGGCACRACTTAGATATTCTGTCCCCAAAGATTATGCTTTCCTGCTTTACCTTTAGCAGTGTCAGTTCCACTACAGCCTGCCTTGCTCTTTTCCAGCTGCCTGGGAGACTGCTGAAAAGAAGTGCATTTGCTCCAACTGTTGTGCAAATTGTGGTGACTCTTTTTTGGCATGGGTTTGGAGAAGTTGCCTTGGAAAGCAGAATCACGCAGGCAGATTTGTTTAAGAAGCGAAGACTAGAACTGAGATTTTTTTTTTTAGTTTTAATGAAGAAGAACAATTTCCCACTCTGTTCATTCTCCCTGCTCTCAGCAAAATGTCAGGAATGTTTAAGATTAATGGCAAGCCATGTAAAAGAGAAACAGATACCAAGGAACATTAGTTCCATTGCACAGCTCAGCTTACCTCCTCTTTCCATAGCAGACTTTGCCTTATGCTTTGGCAACCTACAACCAGATTTTTTCTTGCCCTTCTGAGCTCAGATCTTTGGAAAACTCTCTTTTACAAATTGCAGGGAGGAAACAGAGACCTTGTTGACATAGTGGACTGCATTCTGCCCAGAGCAGAGCCATGTGCTGTCAGCTGGAGTGAAAAACGAGGGCTCTGGGAAAGTGTGAAAAGTCATATGTGTTCTTACAAAAATATAAGGTCAGGTTCATGCAAAAGAAAGTCAGCTTTTCTTGAAAACCCAGGGATCAGATTCCCGTCTGATATAATGGCACGGGATTCCCCAGTGGAGTCCCGACTGGAGAATTCACTGGCCAGGAGGTGGTTCTTTCAATATAGCCAGGTAGCACTGGTTACAAACACTGCAGAATGCAAATATCCTGCACCTATTAACAGCCCACCTGCTCCCATCCGACAGTGCAGGCAGTATATACTCCTAGAAGTGYGAGGCTGTTCCAGTAGAGCTCATTTGAATGAGGAAATAATTTAGCAGATAACTTCCTTCCCCTTAGCAGTCACGTGCGCCCCTCAGCTTGGAATATCTCCCTGTGGCAACAAGCGGTAAGCACGGACATGGGATCTGTTTGCAGCTTGCAACCATCCTTTACTGTGATGAAGTTTTTCCTGGTTTTCTGTCTGTGTTGTTGTTGCTTTCCTCTCCTTTTATTCCATTTGCTCTCCACATGCGCAGGCTTTCTGCTTCTGGCTTTCTGATCCCCCCAGACACCCTTCTACATTGCTGGCCTGTCCCTATGGAGGTTTCTGCCTGAGTGGCAGCCGGTAACTCCGAGGGTAGCCTTGGCTCCCTGTGCCTCCCATATAGATACCAAAGCGGTATCAGACATCATGATTTCTTGTATAACACCAGAGGTTAAAAAAAAAAAGAGTGAGACCTGTAGTTAGCATGAATAAGAAAAAGAAGTGTCTTGTCCCCWTCCCAGAACCTCACCTATTTCCTTCAACCATGTTTTCCAACCCCAGAAGTTCTCTCCTTTTCTTTCCAGGGACTCTGCCTCTCTGTCTTTCTAAGAAGTCTTAACTTCTGCTCCTTGTGTCTCACTTCTCCAAGCTGTGTTCCCAGAYGATGTCTCCTGCCCTCTTACTGTCCCTGACACCTTCCCAAGATGTGCTGCCCAAGCACTCAGCCTCTCTTAATCTATATCTTTACATTGCAGAGGCTTGGGCTGTTGTTCAGTCTGCCTTGAAGCAAGTGGCAGGAGTTACCGTAATTGTACCAAGATGATGTACCAAGAGACAGATGCTTTGCAAGAACTGCCCCAAGCAAAGGCTCAGGTTCAAAATCTGAGAACTACTGCCACGAGCACAGCACTTGAATGCAAAAGAAGTCCTATGGAAATGCCACTTTAGTCCTCCCAGTGGAGGACAGCAATAATGGGAATGTGTTCCAGATGTTGTCTTTCATCCAGGACTTCTTTAATCTTGTCAGGTATTTTAAAATATTTATTATACTAAAAGCTGCCATACCCACAGCAGAAATCATGCTCTTTCCTTAGTCATTTTGAAATATCTAAGATTCATATTGCACTCAGCTTGGAGTAGAGTTTTTTTTTAGGAAAGAACAGGTTTAGCAAAACATTGCAGAACAGACTTTCAAAAGGGGCTCAACAGAACCACTGTTCAGTGTGAGTSTTTCCAACGCATCCCTGGGTGCTGACTCAGACCAGAGCAAAGCACTTTGGAAGACCTGGACCCCAGCCATTCCACCTCACCTTCAAATATTTTCAAAATGGGGGACAAACATATTTCCTTATAGAATATTTTGATCAAGTGCTTTTTATTCTGTTGGAGCTACAAACACTTTCATTTCATCTTTCATCTTTCTTTCTTGCACTGTAGCCACATAATTTCCATGTAAAAAGATTTATGATGGATGTAGAATCATTACAAATTCAGTTTCAGTAAATACAGTTCAAAAGAAGCATGTTACCTGAGAGCTGCCCAGTGGTAACAGGTATTACTTTGTATGGAGACCTAGAAAAGTCAGAGAGTGGTTAAATTAATAAYGATGAGAAAGCATTTTGCATTTCGCATTTCTACTCCTTGCCAAGTAGAATTTAACTGAGAATTTAACTAACTCCCTGAGAATTTAACTTTATTCTAAGCCTACTCAAAACCTGTCCATTCAAATACAAGACAGGCACTTGCAACGAACACATACTCCTCCATTTTACTACTGAACAAGTGCATAAAGAGATCTTGGTTATACTGTACAGTCACACAAGTATGGCCAAACAGCCTCCTCCTTGGCAAGTCTTGATAGCTTGGAGGCTGAAATGGTGAAGAAATTGCTGCAGGTTAAGATGAAGGGCCAGTGGTGGGGACCCTTTCTTGGTTTGATGTTTGCACAGCACCATGTGCAATAGGTCCTTGCTAATCCTAGGGCTCCTACAGATGGAGTCAGCAAAAATTATAACAGTAGTTGCTGAAATATGCCATGCTCCATGCAACATATGCCAAATATGCCATATTCCATCACTGAAATATGCAATGAAATAAGTAGCAACGAAAGTCATCACCACAAGTAGTCAGAGTGGAAATAAAATGGCAAGGCTAAACAAACAACAGGAACCCAGGAGCAAAAGACAAAGAGGAGACAGAAGGGGTCGAGGCCAGCATGGCAGAGTCCTGAACTCATAAAAGTCTTTGTCTTTGCAAATAATGTCATGGTTAAGTTCTAACAGAGCTGTAAAGGAGCGAACAAAGGAGCCGAGAGACTTGACAGCAAGCAGAGTAGGGAGGGAGCAGATGTTCTACGTTATGTACTTAAATGCAGCATTTTTCCTCAGACAATTACTCCTACTTTAATAACAAGGGGAAAATCCTCAAAACTAGGAGGCATTAGTGTTATAGCCAGGATGAAATTCTTGCTGTCGTCTGCCTCCCTCTAGGTAGCTGCTCACAGCACACARGAGGCATTCAGAGCCGAACACAGCTCTTACCCTTGGACTTGCCCTTGTTTGTCTGAGAGCAGCACTGAGCAAGGCTTACCTCTCTGAGTTTGCGGGCATTGTCGGATCGATGGATACCATGCAATTGTCCACTGTCAAAAGGGAGATGGTTGTGTTCCTGAAAGGTAGGTTTCAAAGAGTTTTATTTCACCCAGAGACCTTGGCTGAGAGTTTGCGCTGCTKCTTATGGTTCTTTCTCTCATGCAGCACTCCCATTCTGGCCCGGCCCTGTCTCATACTTGTTAAGCCTTGCACAGGACAGGCRAGGCTTGATGTTTCATCCATTTCAATTGCCAGAAATGTTTCTGACAAAATATTAAGTGTGATCATCTCTGATACTGGAGCAAACTTTGTTCCCTGCTAGCTTATGTATTCTGTTGAATCACCAGCTAATGACTTCTACGAAGGAACTGTGTATGATAATATATTGACTAGGCAGTTATATACTGACTAACTTCCACTGCAGGAATGATTATCGAGGCTATGAATATCTTGAAATTATCTGTAGAGTATATTGTCTTACAGAAACAAACAAAACAAAAGTCTTTCTAAATAAGAGGCTTTTATTTTTATTTATTTATTTTATTTTTTTTGGTTATCTAGGGCTAAGTGTGATCTCATAGGCTCAAATGTAAACCTTGGTGTTCTCCAGGAATCTGACATGTACGGTTCTTTGGAAGTCTCTGCTGAGAATGAAATATCAAATATACAGGGATCACGAATGCTTCCAAATTTGCCTGTATTTTGGAGTAGAAGTAGTTTACATGATAGGCAAATGAGAGTTATCAACTTCTCTAATGTCAAATAGAAGGAAACAGCAAGCTTAAACAGGGCATTAATTGTATTCAGCAACTTATGCACATTCTGAGTCAATATGGTCCRATTTTTTTCTTCAGCACACCGAAATAGAGTTATGCAATAAATCTGTGATTCAAGGCTTGGCCTATTTTTCCTGTGCATTTTTGTGCTGTTGACCTGAATATACAAAGGTAAAGGCTAAAGCTTATTGCCTGCTGTTGTGCACTTGGCCTGTGCTGCTCAAGTCCCATAGACAGGCAACAATTCTTGTCTTCTAGGTGTGGATTTGTGACCTGGTTAAAGGATTGTCTTCCCTCTGTGCTACCATCCTGGACAGATAGTGTAGAAGTGATAGTACCAAAGGGCTCTTCCAGACCCTTTCCTCCCCATCTTATCACACAGCTACATCCAACCCAGAATTCCTCACAARACACTAGTTTAAGTTATGAGATACTGTCTGCATGGAGAGTATGGGAAACAAATTCTTCAAGAAATTTCAGCAGGAGAGATGCATCAAATTTACAGAATAAGATAAATTGGAAAATATGTCTCAGCCAATGAATTTTGGAATATTTCTCTTCTGTGAATATAGAATTTGTTTGTGTTTGAATATCCTGCACCTGCGATTAGATTGTTGTTTGTCTAAATATAAAGCTTGTCACTTAGAGGCAGACAGGTTCTATTCTATTCTGTTCCGTTCCGTTCCGTTCCATTCCATTCCATTCCATTCCATTCCATTCCATTCCATTCCATTCCATTCCACACCACCCCATCCCACCCCATCTCATCCCGTCCCAACCCATTCCATCCCATTTTGTTCTTTTAAGTGTCCTCAGCATTGAGATGGCTATATCCCCGTAAGAATCTCATGCTCTTTTTCCACTGATGCTGTTTTGTTCCAATTTCTTCTTCCAGCAAACTGGAATAAGAGCAAAACCTGCATTTTGGGCTTGTCTCTGGATTGTCCCTAAAAGTAAAGGAACAAAAGTGAAATGAATGTCACAAATGAAAAGAGAGACCTACCTTGGTAATCCCGTTGCGATGCAGAAGAGGTCCATAATATCTTTGGAGTTGCAGTATTTACTAAAGATCACCTTCCAAAATGAACAGCAGCAGGGGAGAAATGAAGACAAAGGAGAGAAAGGACACTTAGTTCCCAGTGAGATATGAGTTCTATTCAGGTGTGAACTGGGCTAATTTTAAGGATCATCCTACCATTTCAATTATCTGATTTGGCTTGTGAGCTGGAATATTTCTCTACCTCTGCTTTAATACCTGTGCTTTTAGATAAAGAAGGCTYGGGAGACCTAATTGTGCTGTTCAGAAGTGGAGCAATAATGTATGTGAATGGACAGCAAAAGGTATCTGGTAATACTGTAGARCTGCAGGATGATAACAACCACAAATTTGAGAAAGGAGTAACCCAGATTTAGGAAGAAAACAACACAGATTTAAGACAATCCTTGGATGGTATGAAGGAACRCTGCTATATGGATTACACCAGCTTAGGCTGGTTTTAAACAGAACATTTTTCCCCCCACACTTGTGCCAAATTCTCTGCAGTCTAACGGACTGCATTTTTCCCAAAGTATGGACAGAGTTTGGACCTTGAATTCTGAAAATTGCCACCTTTATCATCCTATTCTTACTCTGTACACCYGCCCTCCCACGCATACCAGGCAATTCGTGAGTTGAGAGCACAATTTGAGCTGGAAAGGCAAAACCTGTACGTTTGGAAAGGCCACCATTAAGTCCCTGAATGCAACTTTAACTTGATCTCTTTGAGACACAGCCTTTAATGACACAATCCTATGGTAGGATTTCTCCCAGACTCACGCGTCCTTCAGGACACATGGTGATGGTTCTCACTGATTGAGAAACTCTTCAGAGTTGGTCTTGGTGGGCGAGAGAGCCTGTCTGAGTATAATTTATTGATTATGGTGGAGGTTTTGAAACTGCTGTGGRAATAAAATGCCTCACTCTAGTCGTATCTGGCTCATATCCACCAAGTCAAGAACAATAGAGAACAATGGGTCTTATTTGTCTGGAAGTTGCTCAAGTTGATGGTGTGGCCGCAGGCTACAGAGGCCAGTTTGTCCTGGCAGAGATGGGGAGGCTGTGGTTTGGAGTGGATGTTTCTCTAGGAAATTGTGGATCTGAAGTGCCTTGCAGCCCCCAGAAAAAAAAAAATAATAAAATAGTTACAAAACCTTAAAGTTCAGGATAAAGTAGATCAAAGGGACTCACAGAGACCTATTAACTTATCTATAATAAAGCCCATGGGRAGGTAAGAAAGTGATGTTTTGCAGACAAGAGCCAAGGCACAGGTTGATGACATTAAAATCTCTTTTCTCCTTGCAGGTGCCTGCGTGAAAACACTGTATTCCAAACTGCATAATCATTCTTCATATCTGATATTTTCAGGCATAATTTCCATTGTCTTCCACTGCAGGCGTGAGTTCTCAGCTTGTCTGCGGATCAGACTCAAAACTGGTGACCCAGAAAATGAAGAATGTGTCATCGGGGACTGCCTTTGAACAGCTTATTTTTGCTGACTTGCCTCGTGTCAGTTCTGAATTCTGGGGCAGCCTCTGAGAGAGAAGCCAGTTCTCAAGTGCTCGGAGAGCCTCGCTGGCRGCTCTGCAGCCTCCTGCCTCCTCCGTGACATGGGCTGAAAGGAGGAGACAGGGTCTCCAGACAGCCAGAGCTGCTGCCTCGGTCCCCTGACTGACTCAGCTGAGTGGASACACTGCATTTAGTGAGGCAAGGAACATGCTGGAAAAATAACCCGGCATCATGTAATTAAAGACCCTTTCCAAGTGCATACATGGAAGTATGCACTTGGAGTATGGGTTAGTTAATGCTGGAGCTTCACTCTGGCAGACTTACCCTTTGATTTCTAGATCATAATAATGTTGCAGGAATGTAGTCCTCATGTGTAGCTTCTAAGACATCATTTAGAACTAACTGAAGTCCCTCAACTGGCCTAGACCCCAATCCTCTGTTCCTTCCTGGCAGCACTGAGGGCTGTGGGATGCCCTGCTCAAATCCCAGCTGCCAGAGCAGGCAGAGACCAGCAGTAGGTTCCTGGCAGACCATGGTAGAGGCCATGAGAGACTGCACCAACCTCTGGAGAGGCTGTGATACAGCAAGCACAAACTCTGCCGCTCTCCTCTGACTGAAACCTGTCTCCATGCTGCTGTTCCTGTACTGGCTTTTCTGCACCCTGTCTTCTTGTCTCAGCAGTGCTTCAGTTCTTCATACTCACCCCAGCCTTCTTGCCCAGACATCCCTAGTCTGGTCTCAAGCCCCAGCCCCAAATATGTAACCTACGCAATCCACAGTCTAGGTGGTGACTGATACGATCATGACTTTTGCAACAATCCTCAAAGTCTTAAAAATATTGTAAGAGTCCTGACAAAACTGTAAGATCTGACCATTCTGGTTCAGTCCTATCAAGAATGAGGTGTGTGGTGCTAAATATGAGGCACAAGCTTTTTCAGTTTTGATGCTAAAGTAATAGTTCAGATACTAGTTTTCTAAGCTAGAAAGTCAGATAGAAAAATCCTTTTATTCTTTAAGTGTGGGCTAGGATTTTTGTGGCAGAGAAGAACACATTTCTGACCTCAAGAGAAGGTTATGACTGATATATAAGTTAATAACTACCTTCCCTTTTTTCCAACCTAAATAAAATAACACTAGATAATATATTCAGGTTATAAAAAATCAAGGCAGATAATTGTTGAGATGATAGTTAAACGCTTTAACTTGGGAAATGGGTGGTATTAAAGCCTGGTGTGTCCCAAAAGGCTGTTCTGATAATCACCACAACAATTCACCCTTGTTTATTAAGATCAGTGACAATCAGAACAATAAAGTGTAGTTAATCGAGTTCAGACAGGACGGAAAGCTTGCTTCTTGCAGAACACAGCAGCTTATTGGAGTGATAGCTGCTAAAATTGGCTCGCAGAACATTGGAAGGCTGTTTTTGTGCCAACAACTGATACACGCAATAACTGAGCAGGCGATGTTAATTGTGGCTGAACACAAGGAAGAGGTTGTGATGTGCTGGGAGTGTTATTTCAGGTAGTCAGATTTCTTTTTCTGGAAATCAATTATTATTGATCGGGACAGATGAGAGAGAGAAAGATTAAAAAATAACTTGAGAAAAGGATTAAAGGTTAGAAAGTCAGCCTGACTCATAGAAAGCAGCAGGAGCTTTCAATGTATTAAAGCTCAATTTTAATACTTCCTTCTACTTCATGTAATAGTTTAAGTGTGGGAAGCAAAACAAAGAATGCCGATACTATTTTATGATTGTGAGCTATATCTGCACATGCTTTTTAGCTTTCCCAAACTTGACATTTTTACTGAATTTTGCTAGAAGAGGATTTGTGAATCATCTGCTGTATTTTGATACTCATCTCAGGATAAAAATGGTTATCCTCAGCTGTTCTTCTTTAATAAAAGAGCATATGTTACTGAAGCTCTCTTTTGCAACCTGCTGGGCTTTTCTGACCAACTTCCTTTAATTTTAAAACAAAGCAGACAGCCTCAAACATTTTCCAGCAATATGCAATTTTTCCTGTTATTGCCCGCAGGTTTATGTTCCCAGTAAAGTCAATGTCAGCTGCGCTGATGACTTCAATTGGAATGTGTTTTGGAGAGGGGAGAGGACAGCCTTCATCCTGTGTGCTATTGATGCTTCCAGCACAGTATAGGAATCCTATTTACTGAAAGTCCATTATCATTTCAGGGACATTAGCACCATGAAGCAAATTTAGTGATGTTTGGCCTGCAGTCACACTTCACCCAAATGGGACATGTGATTTCTCCCATGACCAGGGAGAACCAACAACGCTGGGAACAGCCAACTTCCATGTGATGAAACTGTTCCTATTCTGTCCTCTTGTCTGTGTGCTCTTGACACTGGGAGGTGAAGCAAGCATCTTACCTAGTCTCATGAGGGTGTCCTTACTTGGGCAGGTGCCCTGAAGCTGTTACTGTTTAGCTCAGGTTTGCATGATGGCATTTTTCTGACACTCAGAATTTGTGGTCCTGCTCCAAACCCACCAGCCAGCACATAGGGCCTTCACTGCCCTTCCGACCTGCCTCAGCTCCTTCTAACCACAGGCACCTTCTTGCTTGTACTCTCTCTTCCTAGCCCAGCATGGCAAGCCACAACCAAGACATGTCTCGCAGCATCTCATTCCCTGTCTTCATGCACAAGCTAGAAGAGATCAGTGTTCAGAGTAGGACTGAGACTTCCTACAGAGTGTAACCAAATACATGAGAAACCAAAGGCTTACGGCAGTGTGGAGGTGGGCTAAGACCACCCATGTGAAGGGCATAGACAAGCTTTTGCATAATATACATCAAAAAAGATGAATAGATTGACATAGCAGCCTGAAGAAGCCAGGAATGTAGTTCCTAATACTCCTCATATAAGAAAAACGTGACAGAGRGACTCCAGTGTTGCTTGGAGGTATGGTACTATCCTGCAGCCTGGGCCAAAACAAGGTGCTCAGTTACTAGTGTTATTTTTGTAGGAAAAGTAGAGCTTAAATTATATGAGAATAGAGTTGAGGGGAGACAGATTGCATGAGAAGCAGAGACAGAGGCTCCTGATTCAGTTTGCAGGTTGACAGCTGAATGCCACCAGGACAACCAAGCACACATAAATTCTGCTAACTGCATGTCCCTCAGATTTGTGACAGGAGAAAAAGAACATATTCTTCCCAGATGATGCAGAATGTGCAAAGAGTTAATTTCCCCAATTTGAGCATTTATGTTATTTAATATTTTGGCCCTTGTTTCCCTTTACTAGCAAAGCTTCTACCGTGTTTAGAAAAATGACAAGAAGGCTGAATAGTCCTCCCTGAATGCTTAGCTTGGTAGTTTTAATAAGTCTCCATCAAAACTGAGAAGTAGCCATTTGATTTGAGTATGCAATACAGTCTGTCTGCCTTGGAGAGTAACACGGAGGGGAAAAAAAAACAGAATGAATAATAACTGAGATTTTTTGGAGTGGAAATAATATTTTGATGAAGCATGCAGTGACTGTGAAGTAGGACAGTGTGACTCAGTAGGGATG